TGTCTAAAGTCATTTGATTTATATAGTGTTTCATTATCAGGGTGATTCCAATCATGTTGTTCAAATGGATTGAGTCTTTACTATTGACTTTGATAGAATTGAAGTATTGAGTGACAGAGACATTACCTTGTCGTAGTTTGTGGAAGCTTCTTTCAACCGATAGGAGTTATAATATGTCCTCAGAATTTGAATAAGTTTCTTTAGCAATTTCCAAAAATCGTTGACAGTGGAGTAGAGTAAAAAATTTTCTCCTATTTTGATATCATGGAGTTCGTAAGCTATGCCCTTACCATATTATTTTTTTATTTCTAGATTTGTAGGCTGGATCTACTCTTCTTGGGGTAGGTCTTGATGTCGTGTAGTAGTCATCTTTGTCACGTAACATATATATCAGGAGAAGCATATGATTATAGAATTGTACAATCATTAGTAGAGACTGAAGAAAATGGTTTTAATCAGGAGGCATGAGATGGTGAAGGTACGGAGGAGATGATACATTTACTAGAGCAAATTACAGATTGCATTGATGGATGAGTTGAATTAGGAAGATTAATATGTTTGGCAGTATGTTCATTTTAATTTGATTTAGATATTTTTTAGTTGTTTAGAATTTTGTAATTTGCTAGGTATTACACCTGAATGTTTATCAAACATGTATAACATTGAGTTTGATATTATTTAATTTAAATGTGCTAGTATTACCATTTCGGTCTGAAGCTTTTTGAAAATGATCTTGCAATTATATGCATAGGTGAGTTTAATAATTTATATTATACTTAACAAATATTCAGTTTCACTAATCCAACCATCTCAATGTATGCAGTATCCATTTATGCAAAGTTTCTTTATTGATCGATCTTAACTAATTAATTTTGTTTGATGTTTTACCAAATGTTAGTCATTCTTAGTACTAAGGCAGTTTTTGAAGAAATGTGTGCATAGTCAGTTTTTAATAGTGGTTGAAGTACTGTTTTACGTATCACATGTTTAAACTGTGAGGAATATTTTGAACCACTGTATTTAGTAGATTTAAGAAGTGGGAATGCGGAGCACTGATAAACTTGCCATCTACTTCATGAAATTCTTGATCCTCTCTCCCTTCTTAAATGAAATGACTTGGCGATGAGTGTTGTTCATCTGCAATTGGCTCAGGATGGGCTACTTAGATACCACTTTTTTTTTATTTTTTTTAACATAGAGTTTTGAGAATAAATATGAACTATTGAAAGTGTATTGAATGCTGGGATTTTGTTATTTAACCTCTACAATTATCATATTTATAATAAAGGATTTGAATTCGTGATATATCAAACTCAATGTCGCAATGAAATAATCATTTTGGCAATATTTTAATGGTTTGTTTTATACTTAGAAACCACATTTTGCAGATGAAAAGAAACAGATCCAACAATTTGCTTAACAGAGAATTGCATTACAGTTATCATCAACATTACAATCTGCCTTTAGCCTGGTGAAAGTCAAAAGCTTACAAGTGGAGAGAATTGTAAATTGAAGCAGGCGTTGGTTTTTTCTACCAAATTTATTTCAATTTCATTGGGCATCATATGTTTTGTACATGCTATTTATGTTTATTATTTAACCTTGAAATAAAAAATGTGGATACTTTTAGTAATAGAAAACAATCAAGTTTTATTAGTGTGATAGTCGTCTTTATTAATGTATTTTTATGGTTTGATTGATAGTTTCGACGTTGTAAATGTGGATACTTTCAGTAATGGAAAACAACCAAGTCCTATTTTTTTTTTGTCTTTGGTTGCCTATGAGATATTGGGAGCTTCTGTCACATCAATGGTATTGAACATTTATGTTGTTTTATGAGTTAATTTGTTTTCATATATGTTATTAAAATTTAGTTTTGAAAAATGAAATTCATTGCAGTAAATTTGATATTAATGTCTTGTATGAACATATTTCCTGACAATTTAATTTTAATATCTATTTAAATTATATAGATTATTGAATTTGATATCATTTAATTATTATTGTTTCTAAAGACAAGAAAGGTTTTATGGCTATTAAATTAGACATGGAACAAGCTTTTGATAGAATGGGATGGCCTTCTTTGCTTCAAGTTTTAAAAATTTACAAATTTCCTCCTTCAATTTGCAACATTATATTGGAATGTGTAAGGAATGTCAGATTCTCTATTGTCTTAAATGGGAAGCTTTCAAATTGGATCATAGCTAAGAGCGGGCTTCGTCAAGGATGCCCCTTATCTCCATACTTATTCATTATGTGCTTTCAACTCTTCTCTTATGCTATTAATCAAAGAGGACATCATTTGGGAGTTTGTTTAACACCCAAATATCCGAAATTATCACATCTTATATTTGCAGATGATTTATTAATCTTTTCCAAAGCAACTTCTACAGCAGCCCAGGAATTAAAATCAATTGTCTCTGATTTCTGCAGTTGGACAGGTCAGAATATCAATGCTCCTAAATCTCAAATTCTATATGGAAAATTGGTTAAGCATTCTATGAAGAAACAAATTAAGAGGATATTGAATTTCAAAGAGGTGAAAGAAATGAACTACTTGGGTATTAAATTGGCTTTGAGAAGGCTCAAATCATTTGATTTTCAGCAAATGATAGACAATATCCTAGAGAGGCTGAATACTTGGGGAAGCAAACAACTATCAATGG